CCCGAGGCGTGGGAGGGCTCGCAGCAGCCGTGTTGAGGAGGATAACAGGACACCGCCTTGCCTCTGGAGCCTCCCCGAAGTGAGGGGAGCCCATCCTCTGCGCCTCAGGCTCCACCGAGAGCTCTCCCAAAGCCACCCGCAACCGTGCCATCGCGTGTGACCCGTGGTGGCATCGACGGTGGACACGAGCAGCTGGAAAACCTGGCCCGAAGGCTGGTTCACCCCCAAAAGGAATCTTTCATCAAAGTACAAGACACAATTTACTGTATTTTTTTCCTTATAAGAATTCGCTGAGATCCCTGCAACGCTTTTTTTGTAATCTCTCCATCTGCTGCCATTTAATTTCTTCCAATTTTCAGATAAACAACAACCAATAAAAGTCATTATGGAAGCCACTCCTGGAGAAGGGAGACAGCACGTTCACGCACCGCATTCATTCGTAACGTACGTTCGAAACCATTTGCCTAAAATCTTGGGTTTCGGCGTTTCGGTGATGATTGTCCCCTGTCCAGCGCGGGGTCAACCTCGGGCCTGGAGATCGCCGTGGGGAAGGGAACTGGGCATCCCCCCCAAGGCTCCTCCGTGTCCCGGGGGCCGCACAGTGCACGCTGCCGCTCTCTATAATTACGCCTTGAACCCCCGGGGAAAGCACCGAAATGCAGTAATTCCTCTTGAAACCGTAATTAAACTCGATGGCAGCCCGGTGCGCCGCTCATCGCCTGACCCAGGGGAGGCAGAACTGTTATTTTATCTGTCGCGAGGCCCGGTCACACCTCCCAGTCTTCTGCACCACGCTTTTGGAAGTCTTGTCATAAAACGGATCGTGACGCTTCACAGGCAAACGGGAGAGAGGGGCCTTCCCATCGCTTCCCGGTCCCAGACACACACGAACTCCTCCCTTTTCTAAACCAGTTGGGACATTTTTTTTGCCGTTTCCAATCTAACCCACAAGTTGGAAACGGCAAAGAGGCAACAAGGACTTCGTTTTGAAGTTTACGCTGATTAGTTTCACTGAGCAAACTAAGAGCCGTGATTTCACATGGCCAAGACACGGATTTGGAGGACACATGGAATAAAAAGGGAAAGAAGAACAAATGTGAAAAGGGACTAAACAGGTGCTTCTCACGCTGCATAGAAAAAGGGATGGCGAGCCCTGACGCAGGTAGAAAAAAAAGGGAAAAACAAAGCAACCGAGCGTAAAGCAGAGAGAAAAACGCAACTGGGATGTTGGTGCAGAACGTTATTAATCCTGCAAGACGTGTAATGCTTGTCTAGAGGGCACGGGGCTGCGAGATGGAGCAACTTCCATCTCCATCACGTTTACCTGGAGAGCAAATCTCCTGCAACAGCCGCAGCGACTAAAAAGCAACAAAAATGGACGTGCCACGTATGGCGGGGGGTCCAGGAGCCACGGAGCAACGCTGACAGGATTAAAAAAGTGAAACCAAGGGGCCCGAAGTTCATTTGGAGTCGAGCTGGACTCGCCGATAAGCGTACCCAAGGCACGCTGTCCAGATCCAAAGGTTACGGGAGCACCGGGGTTGACCTCAGGGACAGGAGGGCCCGAGCTGGGTACGGGTACAGGGACACGTCCCCGGCACGGGAGATTCTAGATGGTTCCATCTAATTCCCCCTGTTGCTGCCGACATTTCTGTTGTAATCTTTTCGTGCAGAATTAAAGCGATCAAGATTTTAACAGATCTCGGTGTGCTTCTTTATAAAAGCACGCCCAGGCACGCTGGGTTCCAGTTTCTAGCAATTAGAGTCTCCGGCAACCTAACGAGCTCGAAAAGCAAATGAATGGGAGGTTTTTTCCCTTTATTTAATTAGAAGAGAATAAATACAAATAAAAGTTCCTTGAGTTGGTTCCTTTTCCTGGAGACAGTTCCTGATCGGGAGGAGGGATATACTGGTTTTGTCACGTAATTGGAGCATCCTGCAACTTAAGCAGGGCTCTCCATAATGGTACTTAGGGGAATTCCTAAAAGCTATCGCAACGTTAATGAAGCTGGTTTCCTCTCTTGCTTTTACAGTCAAATAGCTCTCTAAAAGCTAAATCCTTCATTCTTATTTTCACACAGAGCGAGAAGGGTTTTTAGTGCTTGGTCAGCCAAGAGCTGCCTGCTTCAGAAATAAATGCATTCAGATCCCGAGCTGGCTGCGGCCGATGGAAAGACTCCTGGTGACTGCAGCCCACTTTGAGTCAGACCCTTCAACAAGAAGACGTAAGACACATGTTTCAAGATAATTGTTTCCAGGCAAAAGAGCAAACTGCTACCCGGCAAGTATTAAAAGCACAGACAAAAGAGCAACTGCCTCTGTCCTCCATCCTCAAAACCAACTGGAGCAAAGGGGTCCGCGGCGCAACGTCTGAACACTAATTACAGCCGAGAGCAGGGAGATTTTCTGCTCCCGGTCCTACCCGTTAATCCCTTCCTCGTGCTCTGTGGGGCGTCGGGTAGAAGAGCCTGGCTCCATCAGAACCGCAGAAGGCAGGGAGCCGGGATCCCAGTCCGTACTCACATCTCTCTACAGATAACAGGAACCCGGCTGACCCGGGGCCAGGCTGGGAAGCAGGGATCTGATCAGTACCGGAGAGAGTTGGGCCAACCACGCTGAAGCGGGCAGGTCGCATCCCAAAGGATAATGACCCCAATCTGTTGGCCATTTGGGCCAATTCCATCGGCTGCCCCAGGATACCACCACGTGCAAGTCTGCAACCAATTTTACCCAACACTAATATCTATATAAACTTAACTAACAGAACCATCTGGCTCAGGTTATCAATCCATAAAGATAAGCAGTTGCTCCCACCAAGGCAGGCAACAGTGTTTTCCTTTTTACTTCCAGCCCACTTCCGTGCCCACACCAGGGAGCAGAGCCCCGTTGCCCCCGTGGTTCTCACGATGCCATCGCTGGGTTTGGGATGGGAATAATCCCCGCGGTCCCCCTCAAGCCCCAACCAAACCAAAAGCCAACAGAACGAGTCCTTGAAACTCTTGCTGCAGAAGGAACTGCTGCACCGAAAACCAAACTGGTGTTAAAGCAGCGACACACGCCGCGATGCAAAATACCTCTGTGGGTAGGTCTGTCGGCGCTGCAGTCGGGAGCCAAACTCTATCTGCGTTAGCAGTGCAGCGAGGAAAGAGCTAACCACCCCAGTGTCTCTCTGGTTTCTCAGTGGGTTTTGAGGTCCGTGCAGCAACACAGAACTTCTATCAACATCACACCCTCTAATTTACAGGATGGGGGCTCAGGTCTTAGGGTTAACATCTGTAACGACGACACCACCACCACACAGAGGCTCCCTGCCCCAGCAAGGACTTGAGTTCACTTCAGCTTGGGTTTTGTTGGAATGCAGGTTTTCACTTTCTGGAGGTGGCCACTCTGGAGTTACGCCGGCTGGGTGAGTGCTGCCCGGCGGGTCAGCTGGGACACGGGGCTGTGCAAGGACATCGTGTTTGTTCGCTTCGTTCCTAAACTCGAGCTACTTCAGGAAAAGCCCTTTGCGGGGTTTGCAGAAACCACGGAGCTGTAAAACACCACCACTTGGTACACCAGGCTGGCGGGACCTTTGTCCTGCCTGTGCACGGCTGCACACGTTCGCAGCCAGCTCGTCCTTACCTGATCTTTAAGCTCTGAGAGCTGGCCGGAGAGGTTGGTCACAAGCTTCATGGTGGACTCGAGCTTCTCCTGCAAGTTCCTCAGCTCGTTCTGCTCCCCCTCCGAGTCGCTGCTCACGAGCGACATGGCTCGCATCCGGGGGAACCAGTCCAGGTTTCTCTCCTGCGGATCAGACACCAGTTCAACAGTTAGCGTTTGCCAAACGAGAAGCTGCACCCGGGCGGCCGAGCGCAGGCACATCTTGAACGTCACGCGGGGACATTCCCCAGACGCACAAGCTCTGCAGTTATTTCTTTCATTTGCATCTTACTGGAAAGTTTGCAAAACTGCCTGCTAGAGGCAACGAGGCACTTCAGACGGAACTGCTGAAGGCTGACGCTGCTCGTCGTTGGCTTTTCCTTTCCCAGCCATCTCTTCTTCACGTACACTTCAGTCTAAGACCTGAACACTGGACATTTAACCAGCCCAGATTTCACGCCCGGACGAGCATTTCCCAGTGCCAGAAATCTGCTGCTGCCTTACACTCTTTTAATTTGTGTTTGGTGACGATTTTCTGCTGGTAAAGCTGGTTCGCTTTTTCGGTCAAGCAAAGTCTGGCAGAGCTTTCTAACGAAAGAAGCCTTGTTCTGCCTAGAAATACTTTTGTAGTCAAAATACTTCCTTTTCAATGAAAAAGGAAAAAAAGAAAATTCATATTCTCACTGGCTGGTTCAGGCTAAAATGTGGGACAGGTTAAGATACAAGGACTTACTTATAATAAAGTTTTCGTTCAGGCATACAAATTCCCTAATATTCTATGTTTAAGTTATAGTCAGGACCTTCAGCGGCCACGTGCTCCCTTTTATTAATGTGTACACAGAGGCTCACACATACACTCACGTCCGCGCCAGTGACGTTAAAAATAAAAGCAGGAACGGAATAGAAAGCCACAAAAGAGGAGGAGGGGTGCGTACCACACCTTGACACCTCAAATTTCAACACCTAACTCATTTCCTATCTAGTCTGGTTCTCCTCCCACGCTGGAGATACTCTCTGAAATGGAAGTTAAACTCTCGCTGGATCAGATAAGGACGTGTGCGCTCGTAGGAGACACTGCAACAGCTGGAAAGGTTTTAAGTGAACCAGACGAAACGGCAAGAGGCTACTGGATTCACAGCACCGCAGACCAAAGATCAATTAACATCACTGATTAACGGCGACTCAAGTTCGCCTCGCTTCGCTGGCCAGGCTCTTCGCTGTGTTCTCTCTCAAATCTATGGCTTATTTTTACTGCAGACTCTGGCTTTTTGCCGTTCTCTGCCTAAATCTCTAGGTTGGACCCCGCTCCCCATCCCTCTGCTCCCCTCCCTCCATGCTCACTCGTTCCCAGGAGCATCCCATCCTGCTCCAAGCAGGGCTGTGCACCTCTGCAGGGAGTTACAGTCACGTCCCTTCCGCAAGTCAGATGCGACGCCAAGACTCATCATCTTAAATTAGTCGCTTCTGATCTGCTCGGAGTTTACTATTGCTGAGATTAAAAGGCAGAAAGCAGGCCCTTTCCCATGCAGCGCACCACAGGATTCCCACATGATGCAAAACTGCCAGGAAAGCTTTTTTTTTCCTCCTGATCTCTGTTTACAGGGCAGATGGTTTCTGCTAATAAAAGAAAAAAAGAAAATGTACCCAAAAAAATATGCCTTTATCAAGACAAGTGCCAAAATATTTGGGACTTTAGGAAATGACAGTCCCACAATTAAGATTTAATAGTGGTAACAGTCAACATCTTGCTGCGTTCTTGCAGCCACAGTAAAATCCTCATTAGGGAAGAGAGGGTCAGCAGCACTTGTGCTCAGGACTAGCACCTCCCCTGCAAAGTATTTCCCCTCCTCACCCAGGGAAAACCAACGAAAACCACTGCCATTCCCTTCCCTGCTCTCGTCCAGGCGAGAGGCTTCCAAGGACAAGGCAAATCAGACTAAAATGCCATTTACATTCGCAGGTCCATGCCCTGAGGTTTCTAAGCAGACGTAAGAGCAGAGCCCTGGAGCTCCTGCCGGCTCCTTACTTGTCGTAGAAATATTGTTATTTTGCTCCCAAAGAGGTGGGAGCCTTCCAAGCTCATGCCCAGAGAGTTCCCAGGCCCTGTCCTCGGGAAGGATGAAGGGGACAAAAGGAGCAGGACCTGGAGACACTGACCTTCCCCTACCTGTGACGTTTTATTAACAAACACCCCAAATACTCTCTGACGTTACTCTGCAATTTAAGCAAATGCTGTGGCCGCTGCAGAGGCTGCAACCTGATCGTTACCGGCAGGGAAGGTGACGGGCAGTCTCGGATGGTGAAATCCAACCAGCGAGTGCTAAAGCGCTGACAGCTTCTGCAGGGTCATCAGATGTTTCATACTTGCTGCTTTTCTGAAAGTCCCAGCCCTTGAAGTCACTTGAGTATGAGAAATCTTGGCTTTCGCTTGACAAAAACCAACAAAGTGCCTCTCTAGTTCTGAGAGCAATGATGAAAGACTAAAATCGAAAAAGCTCCACGTGAACACCACAAGCTGAGAAAGAAGGCGAACGACAAGGAGACAAGGCTCCTGAGCGGCGAGGACAGGGCTCACCCTGGAACTGGCAACAGCCCTGCTAAGTCCTGACCCATCCAGACGAGCGTAACGGGGGCACCTGGAAATTTCCTGTGCAGAGGCAGCCTTAGGGAAGGACCTCTGCAACACCTCTACATCCAGTCCCTGTCACGGGGCTGGACCTAACCTGTGCTCCCGTTCAGGTTTTGTACAGCACGACTCAAAAGTTCACCTGGAAGCGTCCAGCTGCCACCCAGCAAGAAATAAGAGGATGTCTACCCAAAACATGAGAAGAAAACTGCATCACTGCAGGTACAACAGGCACCAGCGCTCACCGACCCACGGAGGCTGCTGGGACTCTCCGGAGAGGGCAGCAGGGATGCTGCCAGCCCACAGGCGCCCACACCATCCTCTTCCTCCTCCTCCGCACACACGTTATCTCACAGAATCACAGGATGCTCGGGGCTGGAAGGGACCTCTGAAGATCATCTAGCCCAACCCTCCCTGTCAGAGCAGGATCACCTGGAGCACATCACACGGGCACACGTCCAGGCTCTCGCGACCCCTCTGCTCTAGGCTTTGCATGGGAAAAGCCTTCAGCCCGCTCCTACAACCAGCAGCGCAGAGAGAAGCTCGAGAGCCTGGCTGTGACCAGACTGCTAAAGCAGACCTCTGCCCCGACATCCCTCCATGGCTGTGCTGGGAGGGGATTTTTTTGGGGGTGGGGAGGGATCGTAGGGGTGGGTTTTTTTCTTTCAAATAAGTAAATCATAGAATCATAGAACAATTCAGGTTGGAAAAGACCCTTGGGATCATCGACTCCAACCATTAACCCTACACTACAAGGTCACCCCTAAACCATATCACCCAACACCACATCTAAATGACACTTAAACACATCCAGGGATGGCGACTCAACCACCTCCCTAGGCAGTCTATTCCAGTGCCACGCTCCCAGCCCCACCGGCAGCGCTCCCCCTCCACGGAGCGCTCCCATTCAAGGTCGAATAAAAGATTTATATCTCGATGATCTAGTTTCTGCTGAACTTTAACTGAACGCCGGGGTGCCTTTAAAGATGCAGCCTTACATCTTCCACAGGAGGAGGTGGGGGGTTTGGTAGGGTTGTGTGTTTTGGAGGCGCTAAAGCGAGCCGTGAAGGGGAAGGTTCCCTCTTGACTTCTCTCTGCCTCGATCCCTTTTTTCTCCTTCTCCCTCCCCGGGTGCTGGCACTTGGGTTTCGCGCTGTCTGCCCCGGTCCTCGGGATTCGGGCGTGCAGTCAGCTCCCTCTTCCCGTCACCGGCGCGGCTTCCTCTGCTGCACGCGGCGCACTGACTG